CAGGGTTACCCCCAGCATTAAATTACCGGTACCCATTTATACACCTGGGTGAAGAGTGGCACTCTGAGAGTAAAGTGTCTTGCCTAAGAACACAACACAATGTCCCGGCCGGGGCTCGAACCTGGACCACTCGATCCAGAGTCAAGCGCAGTAACCATGAGGCCACCGCACCTCCACTTTGCATACTGTAGCCAATAGTAATTTCTGACCTCTGAAATGATTATAGGATGACTACACTGAAGAGCGCTTGGCTAAACTGGACTCTGATCCATTTAAAGTATACAGGTGTCATACCATCATGAACTGCACTAAGACATGTCCAAAGGTAACTAATACATTGTTTATAGGGGATTGATACAATGGAACCTATTTTAAATTTCATACCAAAACAGAATGACATCTTACCACCCTGAGCTCAGCAGATTTTCATTTGCTAGTGTGTTGTGTGATGGACTTTCAAGTTGCCCAAATTGTTTTTACACAGTAGTTAATAGATCATTCCAGGTTTCAGATATGTTTGCCCTAATTTGCATATTCATGGTTCATTTCAAAAAATGAGTTGAGACACTGGTGACATTTAGTGTTGAAGACCATTACTGTAGCTGGAGTTGTGTAATAGCTTGGGACAGAGTGAAGCAAAAAGACAGACAAACAAACAAGCAACTCCCTATTAGATCATGCTTATCCTGGACAAAAGGAAGCACAGACAGGTGCTATGTAGGGGGGGGGGAATGTTCTCTACTACACTGTTTGCATCTTGTTCTTTGAATAAAGCGGACCTGTAAGCAAGGAAAAAATTGAAACAGTACTACATTTTACCCTTGTAATTTGTTATTTTAATTCATCTTCTGTTTTGTTCCAAGGGGTTGAATCCAGGAAAGGCCATTGCTGAAATCAAGAAAATGTTGGCCACGTACCAGGGAAAGAAGGCTGCTACAGCTTAAGACAGAAATTTCTCCTTTTCTACTACACACTGGATCAGTTTCAAACTTAAAATTCAGTTGTACAGAAAATGTTTGTTTTGTTAATGCATAAAAAGAAACAGTAGTCTGTAAAGGAATACTAATATTTTGAATTTGGCTTGCATTTAAGCTCTCCACTTCTACCACTTGCTTGAAATTTTATGGGTAACATCAATGTTGTGTAACAATAAGAGGAATTAGCTATTAACAAACCCGCTTTACTTTCCTTGTTTTAGAATTTTTTCTGGGATCGTCTGTTCTCCATGTTACAATATAATGATTATTTCTTTAACACAACTTATTTTTTCTAACATGAAAGAACTTTTGGTAATTTATTTAAAGTGGAATTAGTTTTAATTGTACAGGATACAATGGTGATAAAAAATGCTTTCATAAATTACAGGAAGGTTTTGTTTGGTACTGTCTTGTTTATAACCAGCAGTTAATTTTAAAATACATCAGGAGTTACTGCTGTTACACACAAGAATGCTCTAAAGAAGGATTCATGTCTATTTGGTAAAGACTAAATAATCATCAAAGTAAATTTGTTGTGAGAACTTCCTTGCACTTGCATTACTATGCCATACACGAGTCTTGTAAAAACATAATAAGTTATGAAGTTGAATCTTGATCACTGAAAAGAAACTTCTTGGCAAATCAAGGTGGTTCGAGTCAACAGTATAGGGAATTCAATTTCCAAAAAGTAAGATGAAAAAAATAATAAAATTGACCCTTGGGCAAAAGGCATCCCTTCAATTTAGTTAAAGTATTAGCTGGTAAATGTTCAAGTTGGTGGCAGTCAACAGCAAAATATTTTAACATGAAGTTCCCTAGCAAATTTGATGCTTCAAATACATTTCAACTCTTGACAACCACATATCAACCTACCAGTAGTTATCAATTAGACATAAACTCCACTTAAGTCCATCTAAAGTGGAAAACAAGACTATCCAGGCTCTTGCAACAAATCTCAAATAGTAAATTATCACAGAAATTCTCAGCCTCGCGACAATGGACAGCTTAAGTTATACTAGGTTGAACTTAGTCTAACAGAACAATGTCCACACAAGGGATTTTGCAACAACTCTCAAATTGTAAATTATCACAGAAATTCTCAGCCTCGCAACAATGGACAGCTTAAGTTATACTAGGTTGAACTTAGTCTAACAGAACAATGTCCACACAAGGGATTTTGTCTTCTGAGAGGTGAATAAAAGTAGACAAGTGTTCCTATATGGATGGGAACATGGCTAAATTGAGGTAACAGACTAGCAGAGTGGGGTGAGAATTATTTTGGCCTTATGGATGATTTGCCTTTCCTTGCTTTTAAGGAAGCTATAATCCTTCAAAAATGAGCCCTTCACTTGATGTACTTTGGTGACTACAGATCTCATGCAATCCCATTTTTTGTTTCTTCTTGTTTTCTTCCTTTGGATATGCTTTACTTTAAATCAGTTGCCATCATGATGCATGACATATCCAATAATTTGTCACCTTCTAACATATCTAACTTATTCACTTATCAAGCTAATATTCATCCCCATAAGACAAGATCATCTTCAAGAGGCAACTATTTTGTTGAAAGTTCAAGATTAGATATACAAAGAAAGGGCATTTTCAAGAAATGGTGTTAGAATCTGGAATAGCTTGCCTTGTGAAGTGTGCCAGCTATCAAGATACAATTTTAAGAGTAAAATTCATAATTTCCTCCTCTAGAGACTTGAAAAATATGACGATTATATTGATTTGTCTACTTTAATAGCACAACTATAAGACCCCAGCTTGTTCTGTTCTCTTGCTGTATCTTAAATGTATTAAATTAAATGTAGTTGTAATTTTTCTAGAATTTTGAATCTCTTGCTCTTTAAATCTTTTGATTTTATAATATACGTATTAAACACTGCCTGCCTCGACTAGCCTTTGCTAACTATAATAATAATAATAATAATAATAATAATAATAATAATAATAAAAACTCTTGTGAGTGAACAACTCAGAATTTTTAGAGTCCTTAGGCACCAAGTCTACTTACACCCTCAAACTAACAAGATCATAATATAAATTATTCTGACAGTCCGCCATATCTTTGACTAGTTTTTTTACAGGGAATTTATTTAATAAAAATATCCTTAAAATAACATTTTTCTTCACCCTCAACCTTCTTTGTTACACAATGCACTGGTATTGTGAGGAGAAATTGTCTACTGGTCACTTGAGGGCAAAAAAGGGTTTAAGAGTACGGATTTCTTGTTGGTTTCTGCAAGACAACACTTGTCTGTAACAATACGCCTAATATGAAGTTAGGCAGATGTTTGAGCCATCTGTGTGGTTCTGGGGCTTGAAAGAACAGTATAAACCAAGAAGAAACTGGATCTCCACAAACACCATTCAAGAGATTGCTCTAAACTTCCTGTTTGGTGACAGTAACATCTTCCTGTGGTTTTATTTTCTGTAACCTGTGTGCCTAGCACTGAGAAAAGGAAAAGGAATTAGGTAAAGAAGAACACATTATGCAGTTCATTCTGTGAAATAAAACAAGGAAAGATTTCTGTAGAGAAAAGGATAAAAAAAATTGTCAGTGTTTGAATTTTAAAACATTTTCATCTCTTTATCTAGAATAGAAGTTGCTCAGCCATAAATGTAACTGATTATCCAAAACAGTTTTAGCTTGCAATGCTGACATAGCAACCTAGCATATTCACCCAAAGCTATCTATAATTGCAAGCTTCATGTGCACGCAAGAAATGCCTAATGCATTCCAATCAAAGGAATTTCTATTAATTGAACAAGTCGAGGTTGGTATACATTAGAACAGGCCTCACCTGTTCTTATGTCAGAGAACAGCTTAACTCTGGAAACTTCACCACTTGTTGGAGTCCACTGGCATGCCTGTTGATGAGGCCAACGGGAATAATGTTATCTGTTACATATCTAAGCAAACTGTCACACAGAACAAAGAAAACTGTTAAACACAATACATCTCTCTCATAAAAATGCTAGAAAATTTACAGATGTGCCAAGAGGTTTGGAACATAAGTTTTCACACATGCATTATTGAATACTGATATAAGTCATGGAAATTTTACTGCCTTGCTTAAGTATGAAAATGTGTCATCTTGGTAATTAATCTTTAGATGTCATATAATGTTATTAAGGAAGTCATTAGCTAGTGAGTGCGGACCTTAGGTGAGTCAAGAAATAAATTTCCTTAAGATAACTTACAGGCTTCCACACTTAAATTTGAACACATTCTAAAAACACACACATTTTATACTCACAATATTCTTTGACCAACACACAGATGTACTTACAGTGTTCTCACTCATATTCCCACACCACCTTAACAATCTAATGCCACACTGCAGCCATTCTGTGTACCCTCTGCAACCCTTTGAAACTCACAAGATCGCTCTTCATCCTAAAGATGACACTCTGCATTTGCATCTCCTTGACCCCATAGAGTCTCTGCATGGCTATCACAGAAAGTCATAGCATTCACTTCTTCTTGAGTTACATTCCACTCTTAGCTTTCATATCACGATGAACACATAACAGAACAATGTATCAAACACAGAATCACACATACATTCTCAATTTCCCTCTCTTCTGGACTTAATGTATTTGTTCTTTCTTAGGTAAACCAGTGAGCAATGGGTTGCACAATCCTCACATGAAATAAATTGTTTGAACCCACAAGTAATACTCAATCAAGTAGCATGATCATCTTAGTAAGGGAAGTCTTGAAAAAGAACTGCCATTCTTTATAGAAACTGTTATTTTGACAACACGAGTCCACATCACCTCATGAAGACAACACTGCTGAGATAGAAGTCACTGCTGCCAAAAACAATTTTCCCTACACTCTTACAATCTCACTGCACAATAAAAACTCTCTGATTTCTTTGATTGCACTGTCAGCTATTCCTTCATTTCAGTTTTTTGCCACACTATTCCAACACCACTTCTCAGTCAAATTGCTTAGAATAAATGCCATTCATGTGCCCTGTCCCAATTTCAACAAAAAATAATTCCAGTGTTAGTTTCCATGCCACTCAAATTCCCTGATATACTACATTAGCACAGACCATGCATATTATACTGAACAATTTCCCACACACATCCAGGTCATTTATTTCGCTTTCTTGTCATTCCTTCAAGACAATTTTACGATGATGACAAAGTTAAGAATGAAGCAATATGCAATATGATTATACAATATGCAAAAACTAAGTTCACTATTTGGACCCCTACGGTGTTCAGGTTGTGTTCAACTCTTAAATTTAATGGTAATGCAAAGACAAAATGAAAATATCTAAGCAGTACAATTCATTACACTCATAGAGATCAGATGGCTACACATGCACCCTTACATAACACAGCACTCTCACCCATCCAAAGTATTTGAAACAATGTTTCCTCAATAATGTAAACAGTAGAATTCACTCCTCATTCACTTGACATTTCTTCACCCTTACTAATAAAAGCAAAGTTCTTTCCAGTCTCACTGTGCTTTTTGAGTAAAATTTACAGCTGCAGTGCTTTTTGAGTTGAATTCGTAGCTGCAATGCTGATAACAAAGGTACTTTAACTTAAAATGATTTCAAATTATGATAAAAAAAGCCATGACATATGTGTAAATGTATATAACATAAGAGAAAGAGGTGGTCCCTATGACACTCTTGGTTTACTTCCACCTGATAAAAATCTACCGTTTGAAGAAAGAAATTCACTTTGAATACTCAACTTTCTTTCTTTAGCAAATTTTTACTTAATAAAAAACCACCTTGTATCAATTTTTATTTGAGAAAAATATTACAGAATGATACTGTACCAACTGATGGAGTAGTAATTCTCATGCACCAATACCGTTTCCTTAGGAAAAACTAGTGTCAGTTCAACTATAATCTAACAAAGTCTGCCTTATGATATAACTTATTTACACACTGCAAACAATAAATTTATTATTGCAGTGAAATAACAAGTCATCATATGCTAGCTTTTACAACTGGAGGAATGTTTGAAAATTGTATGAAGTACCACAATCCAGAAAACAGAGACACAATCCTACCCTGGATATTTATCGCCTTCCATGTCTGTTGGCCATCATGTTACTAGCCCCTGATGGGTTCCCCATGTTCATCATGCTCTGCATCATACTATTGTAAGCTGCTGATGCATTGTATGGCATATTCTGACGTCCAGCATTGTTCCAGGAACCCATTCCATACATTTCGGGAAATCCCATACCACCCCAGCCTGGCAAGGAGTTTTGGGACATAGACTGCATATCTGCTGGAGAGGGCATGTGGACATTTTTTGCTGCTTTAGGCTCTGCAAAGTTCACATTTAGTAGATTTGATCCCAAGCGATGATTCTGAGACTGAACTTTCTTGGCAACTTCTCCAGAAGCAAATGTGACAAATGAAATTCCACGCATGGGTTTTGGAATGTAGACATCAATCACCTCGCCAAACTTACTAAAGTAATCCAAAAGATCCCCCTCATTTGTTGAATCAGGAAGACGTCCAACAAACAATTTCTTTGGCATAAATTCTTGCTGTATTGAAGGAAAAAAAAATTCTACAATTACAGAAAATTTTATTTAGGTTAAGTATTTTAAGCTTGGTGTCCTAGTACAGCCAGAGGTTTTCCCAGTTTCTGTACATGAAGTGACAAGGAGAAAGAGTACTGCTACTCTTCTTACTAGCTCAAAGTAGGTGCCCTGGCCCCCCTCAACCCCACACTAGTCCTACTGCAAACAGTCACATTTCCCTGAAAGTGTGTTGGCACTGGTACAGTCCTAGGTAGCAAGAGGCATTAAGCGAGTGAATTGTTTTACCCCAGAACAAAACATACTGACCCAACCACAGGTTAAATCCAGACCTTCTCCCTAGGAGTGCAGCTGACTTAGACTTTTACAGCCTAACATCAGCGGGCATATATATTCCCCATACTATTAATGAAACATTCCTTAGGGTGCTGACAAGGAGAATTTGTATAACAATCAAGACCTCCTTCAGTTGGTGTTCATTTCCTTTATTCTTATGACCTCAGTGTGTTATTCAGGGCTGATATCGTGAAGAGAAATTAGATGTTAGTCACTCTTATAGGTTAAAAGGTTAAAACTAGGCATCTCCTTGTCAACTTTTCTTTAAGAACCATTCTTGGATTGTTCAAGATGTTGATGCCCTGGAGATGCACTGTTTACTATCCCTGTTGTTATCACTTACTTTACAACGTGGCAATCTCACTTCACAAAGTCGGCCTTGAATGCGGTGAACCTGGGATAACACTGTTTTTGCCACTTCAGGGTCCTTGAAGTTCACAAACCCAAATCCTCTAGACTTACTACTACCATAATCCATTTTTACCTGACAAAAATAAAAGAATGGCATTGCAGATGTAAATCCCTTATTCAATGGTTTAAATTAACACATAATTAACAATTATTCCATGAGCACGCGTTGGATATGAGATGATACATGTAGATAGCCAACAAAGGGCGTAGCGCCGAGTTGGCTATAATCATCTCATATCCAACAAGCGCAAGTGGAATAATTGTTTTATTAAAAAAAAAACGCCCCCAAGATATTAGACACATCTTCTCAACTTTATTTTGTAAGAAGAAACCCGATGTTACAATGTACAGATATTAGATTATGGTATATTGGCTCATATACCATAATGGCTAAGCCAATAAAAGTCTTGAATTGCTTTATCCAATGATCCAGATTTTAATAATACAAAATATCCCTATATTAAGTATGTTTAACCACCAAATAAGTTATCTGTATCATGGTTCAACCTTACGGAAGGAATTATTGTAAATCAAGTGATGAAGAGATTAACCTCTGCCATGACTATTTCACCAAACTTTTGAAAATATTCCTTCATGTCTTCTGCTGTAGTTTTCCAAGGAAGTCCAAGTACAATGAGATCTCCTAAGCCATCCTCTGGAGAAGAAATCTTTGTCATTTTTGTTTCTGGTTCTGCTTTGGTGTTGGGAGATTCTTCAATCTTCCTTTTACTAGTGCTGTCTGCAACATTGAATACAATTTGACAACTTTAGATAAGAAAGGCAAAGTAATTTTCAGGGAAATCGAAATCAATCTCTTTAATTCATTTATCTATTATGAATTCTTTTAACTGAAACTTTACAGGAAAAGCAACCAAATGAGAGGAAAAAGATAAGCAACATAAAGTTAAATCAATACCTTGGGAAAGGCATGAATCAGTCAGAATGGAGAGAATTAAAACTGGTGTAAAAAAAATTGAAAACTGGTGTGAGCCCGATTGGGGTGATAAGAGTAAAAAATCTACTTTACAGCTTGTTAGCTTTGCAAAGGGACTTTGTGGTTTAAGAACAAGGAATAGTATGAGCAATTTATTGGCAGCTCCATGCAAGTAAAAGACAAGCCAATGAAACACTCAAGTAAATGCATCTAAAGTGGCTAATGGTAGGCTATGGTTTTGCTTGTAGCCTGGCTAAAACTAGTTTATTGCCAATATGTCTACTTTGCTAGAACTGTAGTACTGTGTAATTTGTAATTAAAAATACAACTGGAAATTTCCTCCCACCACCGCCCAAAAAAAAGAAAGTGGTACTTATTTGACGATACTGTCATAAATAATAATTGGGTTCAGAAAAATTACAACAGTTATGGCAGAATCTCATTTGAATCTCCAAAAGATGAGTGTGGGTGCTCATTACGATGAAAACTCTCTCTCAAATAATTTGTATTTGTTTTTGTTGTTGCTGTCGCTTGATTATTCAAGAGTTTTGAAGTATGTAGCCCTTGCCTAGGACCTTTCATAAACCATCCAAATGGCTGCTCTGTCTTCATTTCTAACTTTTATATTTTTGTGGCTGAATTCGCCATTTAATATAAACAAACAAAATAATACTGAAATAAGTAACACTCACCATTTTTCTGCACCACAACGTACAAATGTCCACCCCATCCTTCTTCAGCGGGTGGGCAAAGCATGTTTTCCAACAAACGAATTCCTCTCCAGCTGTCAGTCTCTGGGTTCTTGTACCTCAAACCACAGGCACCGGGAAACTGCGCTTGAAGAGTCGACAGTAAAATTGTTCCATCTGCCTCGGTTGGCACTTCGATTGCTGGCAGCGACTCGTCCTCTGTGACTCGAACGTATTGAGCCATTTTAGGTTCTTCAGAAAGTAGCCTTTCAATGCTTAGGATTAGTTGTGAGTCGATTTTGCTGTCTTTTTCAACTTAAACCCCACAGAAAAACGAAGAAACAGTGCATTCAGTATTGTCAAGGATGTGAAACAGCCTGGTGAAAGATGGAGACAGTACGGGTATCCCAACATGCATAGCTAGAATTTACATTAGAAGGAGGACTGGGGATACTTCTGTGGTAGTAAAAAAAACCCCACCATCTAAACCACCCCTCTTCGTGAGAAGAAGCTTTTAAGACCATTCATCGGTAAGGATTTTTAAAAGGATGGCCTTTTATATACAGTGGAAATAATAAGGTGAAGTCTTGAAACATCGTGAAAGAAATAACAGACATAAGAAATTGGATGGTTACAATTTTTTTTCATGCTGTTTTTACCCTACATTGAGATAATGAAACTAACTTATTTTTCACAGAAGTACTGAACACTAAACAAAGCTATGCTCTCTTACCAAATTAAAGCCCACTAATACAAAAAAAAAATAATAATAATAATAAATGAAATACCACACACGATGAAATGTAAATTTATTAAAATTAAGCGCTGAATTTCTGGTTGTTGTGCATTGTAGCATCTATGCTCTTAGATGAGGCAACAATGCTCTTTAATAACATGCAGTTTTATTTATATTTGCAGCAAGTGCTGGCCAGTGCGATGTCTCAGATAGCTTCTTTTCCTAGTTTTTCCGCTTTTCTGCTCTTTTAGATGTCTGCTATGTTACGACAATGTTTGGCACTGGACCTCAGAGTTTATATGTCATGGAGAGGAACCAAGTTATCGTGTAAATAAAGATACTGATCTATGCATAAATGAAAAAGGTAAAGCAAAGAGGTAACGTGGTATGTTCTAAACGAATCCTTTTTAAATCTTTTTGTTTTTTTAGGTTACAAAACAGCGGCAATAGTGGCAGCGATTGCAATCAAACAGGTCCTCATCAAACCAGAAGGTGTATACTTGACGCTTAATGACGTTCGTCCTGGAAGGGAAACACACGTATATTACCGGATGCAGTGAGAATACAATTCCGCGAATAATTGAATATTCATTTTTTTTTACTTTAAGTATATTAGAAATTTATGGTGCTTTAACTTCGGCCATCCAAAATATAGCCACAGCATCGCCTGTTTCCTACATGCAGACGCCATTTGAGCCGTGCGATGTGACTGTTAATTTTGTCTTACATTTTTATTGGTTGGTGGTAAAAATTCTGCACTTTTGAGGGTTTGGCCATTTGACGGTTTTGGATTAATCCCATTAAAACACTTCTGTAAGATGTTTAATGGCCCGCCATGTTGTGTTATCATCCTTAATCATCACTTTTTGTTGGCAAAGATGGAAACACGTTCACTAGAGTCCTCCCCCCTCCTTACTACTCCATCCTCAATTATTCCCCGATATGAGAATTCAGGGAGGTAAGGGGCGAAGAGGAGGGAACCTGGAAATGGGGCTGAGACGTTTATTTCATAACACGTACCTTCCACTGGTCTGGAGATCTCAGTAGTTTTCAGAGCTAACAAAAGGCACGTAGACAACAATCAATACAAAGAGAATCTGTTACAATAATAATACCAGTTATTCTCTATCAGGAGACCTCAATGGGGTGATGGTTTTTACACCTTACCGTGAAAATTTAGGCCAGTTTGCGGCTAACGGTTAATTTCTTTCCGTTGCCTTTGAAAAGAAAACATTTTTTTGCGGTTAACTTTTTTGAGGCTAACAGTTAAAATTTGTCAATTCTACATCTAACGGCTATTTTATTATTATTATTTTTTATTTGCCGTTTTACGACTAACGGTTAACCTCATTGAGACCAACCTAGCCTAACATCCTCATAAATAGCTTAGCTTCCTGGCTCTCACCTCAAACATTTTTCAGGTAAACAGATGTTTGCTCAGTAATCTGTTAATACCTAACACCAACGAACCCACCCTTATCTTACTCACCGGCATTTCGCAGGAACAACGCTTGAGTATGACACGTTGGAATGTTATTGATGACAGTCATCTCGTAAAATGGACAGTACACATTATCCATATCGCTACTGTAGTCTGTTATCTTGAGATAAAACATTCCGGTAGATACATCGGCGAATACAGTGGCTTTGTCTTTGTACAAACCATTGTGATTTGAATCGTATACCCTGAAAAATTGTCCAGTCTTATTTGTCGATGCGATTTTCTCCATGTCTATTTCATTTGGCCTTTTCAAGGCGGACACAGTAATGCGGCGAAGATAGGCACTGTTAGCTGCTTCCGGTAAAAGCTTCCAGCACAGAGTGATGTCATCATCCTCTGAAGCATATGTTATGGGAGGACTGGGGCAAGCAGTAGCGACATTAGATCCAGCTAAAGCAGAGAAGTAAGGACAGTGAGAAGTTTAAATGCCTTGACGTACTTTCGGGGGCAGTATTGTAGTTCGCGTGGAGTATATAAGTACAGTAAGATGTTTTATTAAACTTTGTAGTCACCATCCGTTTTCTCATTGGCTAAACGCCCGTAGTTAATTCTGGGAAACAGGGCAACCTACAGATTATTCACTAATCTGTACCTACAAAGTAGGGAGTAATCTGTAGGTTGCGTGCGCAATGCATGATTTCCGGTGGAGCAATGTCAAGTTCACGGACTGCGCAGTAAGAATGGCTTCTCGATTCGCTTAATCGACCTAGCGAGAAATTGAGAAATTACTTGAACGTAAAGATTCGGAAAATACTAAAAGATCGACAAAAGGGGCGAAGGAACTGTTCTACGAATGCCTTAAAGAGAAAAATATCCAGGAACCACACGACAGAAAGGAATTGGCCCAAAAGATGGTGAAAATTTGTTTACCACACAGCTGTACATTTTTAAGTGTTCGAAAATAAATTGTATTCGCAGCGATAATGCGTTTGGCGTTATTTTCTTTAAGACAATGTATAATAAAACAATTATTGGATTCGGTTTTTGTGATATCGGGAATAATCAAGGTCTCGGTTAGTGTTATCAGCCTCAGCCTTCGGCTTCGGCTGATAACACTTACCTCGACCTTGATTATTCCCGATATCACAAAAACCGAATCCAGTAATTGTTTATAATTTCTGTGGCGTTAGAAATTCCATGTCAGTACGAAAGGAAATGTATAGATAACAGTATGGAGAATATGCATGCTGATCTTAGGGTGTTAAGGATGAACTACCAATAGCCTTACCTTCTTTAGAAATGATGTTAATTCGAACAAACTGTCTTGACGTTGTAAACTGCATAGTCCATTCCATGTCATAATCGACCACTACATGTACAGAACCTCGCTTTAAATGCTTCTAACATTAATTTGGGGTGACAAACGTGGAGAAATTTTACTTAAAAGATTAATTTTTGTTTTATTTGATTGGACCCACTTTAAGTGACCGTTCAATCAGGTGAAGTACAATACAAAAAGGCCGTTGGTACTCAGTAAAGGGTGACCACAATCGCTCAATAGGGGTAAAAATTACAGTATTTAAGGCGAAAATTTTTCTTGAAATGTTTCCCTTCTTCCGTAGATACTAGCACTTATGCGATGCTCTTCGATCCGAGTTGAAATAAGTTTTTTTTACAGGATCGGCCATTTTTTACCTGCTGGAGGGAGGGTTGGGGGGGGGAGGGGGAGTGTCGGAAGATCTTGTTTGAGTCACAATAAAAATTACCTGATCATCTCTCTAAGGCTCTGTTTTAGTCTAATGACTCCCACTCATATGCAGTTCCAATTGTCTATTTCCCTTCTTTATACTCTGTGGGCGACGAATGATCCCCCTCCCCCCCCTGAGAATCATGTGATGTGATCCCCACCCCCTAGGTAAAATACTTACCATTGAGAATGCCTGAGAACAAAATACCGATGGAAATTCGTAGAAAGATGTGCTGTCCCATTCTGATCCTTGGTAAACGAAAAGTTGCCTCTGAATAGTAAGAAAACAAGAAAGTTTCAAACAAGAGAGGATGATGTTTCAAACTAATTATGAAAAATTCCCTTCTCAAAGTTTTGGCCTGGTTCTGGCGTTCGTAAAATCTCTAACGCCACAGAAATTATAATTTCTGGCGTTCGTAAAATCTGGCAAATTATTGTCGGAACTATTTAACTCCAAGTTATTTGTGTATACCTACAGCACATTTCAACATAGATAGTAGTTAAATAACACACGCGAATGAAATCCACAGTATGTTGACGTTATTGCGTGATTGCGTTCCAGTCTCCCTGGTCCTGGTGGGGGCGTGATGAGGGGCGTGAACTTGTCGACTGAAGACCGTGATGGCGGGCCTTAGGGATATTTGATGTTCATTTAAATTTGTCATTCTAGCCTTGACAACATGTTTAAAACTAACAGAATTTTCACTTAAAAGTAAGGTTTAGAAGGTTTATTTTCAAACACATAAAAGTATATAGAATCATTCCCGCCATGAAGAGGTCTACGGGATGTATGATTTCGACCCATTACTATGAGGCTCACGCAATTTAGAAATTACTTTTGCTATATAAGACTATGGAGTGACCTTTCGGAAGTACACAAGACTTTCTTCACTGTTTTAATGATTTCTGATTTCCGATTGATAGATGTAATCGACCAAAAAATCAAATAATTTTAACCCACTGAAACCGATTCCTCCGTTGAAATACGTCCCCCCCGCCCATGTACTCTTATCGGTGGATTTTCTGAAGGAAATTTTGAAATGAAAGATCTTGTACAAGTCTGAAAAGCTCTTACCTTAGTTTATATTTGATCCGAACAATGCTTTCAAGTCGATTTGAGCGATATCACTGTTTCCCGCTTGAACACAACGTCTACCACACTGAACGCAATGGAAATATTACGCGTCTGTGACCCTGGTGCTTGGCATCACATTACTGTTTTACTAGAAGGCGGAAATACCGAAAAATCCCGATTTATAATCCGAGGGTCGATGTCAGTTCTAGGGATTCCGTGTTGGTCCTGCATTGTGGGGGTGGGGTGGGGGAGGAAGGCTTGGGAAACTTATCTTAGTAGGGAGAGTACGTTGAATTGGATAACTCTTCGAGCCATCCTGCTGTACAACGAGACGATCGACGCTAATGACGAAAAGTCAGTTCGTCATACCACATACCACAAGGAGAGGAGGGTAAATGTTGTTTTACTTCTAGCCAAGATAAATTGGCTATAGCAGAGGAGAGAAAAATTAATTGCTTCCTTACATTGTTAAAGCCATTGTTTTCGCTTGTGTGACCAAAGCTACGGGTGTGTCACGTAAAATCTCAGTATGTTCCGGTAACTTATGACCTGTGTTTCGAGGACACAAGAATCGAAATAATTTTATAATGCGCTCATCAGCTCACTGAAATGCTGAACAGACAGATCAGAATGGTGATGGCAAGTTCTCACTGAGCATGATGATGATGCGAAAAATGACTGATTATGTCACATGTTGTCACAGCAACCCAGCAAACTTACAGAACAGAGAAAATAACGAGTGTTACTGACAGGAGACGAATCTATGACCCTTCCGATCTGATCGATTTTAAAACGCCCAATCTGAATAGCTCAATCACTCCTGAAAATCGGCAGATGAGTGATTCCGAAAGCGCAGACTAAAAGGGGAAACAGCCATCTACCAAAGTCACTCAAAGTTTATTTACTTTAAAATAAATTAAAAGTCCTAAGCAAAATCAATAAATAAAGAAATAAGAACACTAATAAAACTATATATTTTCTTCGCCTGCGGGGTAAGCCAAACGCAAAAGCGAGAAAAATTCTCTTAGATTAAACTCAGTACACCTAAAACTGAAGAGGAGGTCTAACAGTTCGACTTTACATTTTCAAAAAAATACGATCAAGACACGCGGAGTTTCACTCATTGGCACCAAATCAAAGCTTGAAAATTTGTCAAGGCTATGGCTTCCATGGCTCACTATTCACAAATAAATTAAATCAAAAGATGTTAATAGGCTCAAACTTTTATACATAACATAACGATAACTATACAAAAACAGCAAAACAAAATAGGCACAAACAAATGCTCACACTCCTGTTTTAGCTGCGAAGGGTCTGTTATCCTGCCAAGTATGGACAAGGTCTTAAAGGCCAGTAGTTATATATTACCTGAGAGGGGGGGGGAGGAATTTTGGGGATCACATTGTTTTCAGGGGAAACGGAAGGCGCAGGGGAGATCAGACGTTGCTGGTAGAGTGTATAGGGGATAAGTATTATAGAAAATGAACGACCAATGAGGGGGGGGGGACAAGGAGCCTGGAATCGTGTAAAATTTATCATTCAGCCTCCCCTCCTCTCTCCCGAGGTGACGAATAATGACCAGTTACTTAGTCAATGTTGTAACTGTTGGATCAGTTAGTTTTAAGGGTAGTTCAAGTGGCTCAGTTTCATCTATACATTTCGTTTTCTCGGGAATATGGTCAGATTGTTTCCTTGCCTTGCAAAACAAAAGGAAGCCAACAATGGCGCCTATGAGGGCAATAGCAAACAAACAGCTCATAACTATCAATGCAGTCTTTGAGGGAGAAGCCTCGATAGTGATTGGACCTGAAAAGCAGAAAAAATAATTTAGAGAAGAGGTGAACAACTTGATAGTTTGTCCATCTAGTAAAATGAAGCCTGTACTTTTCAAGTTCATCTTTTGTTATCAGTTTTGATATTCCACACCATCGTCAACTTCCCTCGTTCCTCAGTTGAAGCTCGTTCTCATCTTTTTCGTGTTTCCTACCAAACTGTTAAAACTTCTTCAGTCTACGTAATATATATGTATACCCCCAACACCTTCATGTAATTATAACTGGGGTAACCCGGCTTATTCAAGTTGCGTGGGCCGCTAAATATGTGCGTACGACTTTGTATATATGGCTTTTACAGGACCTCGCATGTAGCACAGCCGGGGAACAACCAATTCATTACGAACTTTAAGTACAGTCCATATCCACCCACCTTCAGTTGTAGCTTCTGGTGTTGTTGTTGTGCTCATCTCAGTTTTGGGGTTGGTTGATACTTTCGCCGCTGTGGTAGGTTTGGTGGTGGTTTCTGTTGCCATTATTGTGGTGGTTTGAAATGGAACTTCACGAAGGTCTGTGGATAGATTCCATAGAAAGTGTACTTGGCTATATTTAAAATGTCCTTTATTTTGATGAACATAGACAAAAACAAAAAATCCCTCACAGATATGTAATCAGTTAAGCTTATCCGACCGTTTTGCTGCAATCAACCAAAAACGACCCCCACGTCTGTACCCGTTACGGTGGTTCAGTTAACTGATGTCAAAGTTGTGATCTGGCCGTATACCTTCGTCACGCCCACAACAAGATCCAACAGGGCTCACGCACTATTTCCACGTCAGAGTTGCTGTCGCACCTCAATGAAACGGTGCAAAAGTTCTGTCAATCGGGCTAAACATGATGGCGTAGTTAACAAGATTCTTTGTTCATGACGTTTAAATAGCAAGATCGCAAGACCTTTGCCATACAGAATCAAGGAGCATAACGGACATATCGACATACGCTCTGGTCTACGCCATCACAGTACACACTTTTAACACTCGACACCGCCCACTTCGAGAAACCGCTTCGCTTTGGACACGTCTAGTGGAAAGTTACAAGTTTGTGGTCCCGTCAGACCGGCTGTATCTGTTGCCAAGTTCAACTTATCGATGAGCGAATACGCTCAGATGAGGAAAAGCGTTGCAACCCAGCATATCAAATTTACATGTAAGGTACTCACCAACACTGCGCAATAACAGCGCTTGAGAATGACATGGTGTTGAGTCATCTCTGCCATCCCGGGTTTGGTACTTTACACAGTACACATTGTCCATCTGTCTGGTGTAGTTTGTAATCCTGAGATACACCATTCCGGCAGGTAAATCGGCAGATACAGTGGCTCTGTTGATGTAATTTCCGTCATGTTTGCTTGCGTACACCCTTTCAAAATGTCCAGTCCCATTTGCAGAGCCGACCGAGTCCATTTCAGCTTCGACTGGCCTTGACAGGGCCTTAACATAATAGCGGGCTACAATGCTAGAGTTTTCTGCAATTCGCCAGCACAAGGTGACATTATCGCCTTCTGTAGCATATGTTATTGGCGGACTAGGGCAATAAACTGCGGCAACTTTGTCTCTTGCTGAAGAAAAGATAAAGAAATAGAGTGGAATTGAGTGAAAGTATATTTTTACTCACCGTCCGCGATTCCGACAATTTTTTTTAATACCGCAGATGTTCCGACAACTTCCGAAATTTGCCACAGATCCCCTAATCCTATTGCGGTCGGCAGGCGTTCTTTTGTATGTAACGCAACGCTCTCTCCGCATTCTGTGACATCTCAGACTGCGAAAATTTTGCGGAAAACAAAGACGGTTGGTAGCCACCACTGTTGCTGGTTAACTAGAAACAAAGAGCATTGATTTTCCCTACTTACCAATGAATACGTTCATGAATAAAATTCCTTTGAAAATTTGTAGCAGGATCTGTTTTTCCATTCTTGTTCTAAGAGAGAGAGAGAGAGAGAGAGAGAGAGAGAAAGAGAGAGAGAGTGGAGCCCTCATATTTGATAGTAAAATTCGCTCACAATCTGTCCTGTTTATTCAGTTTCAGTCAGCATCCCAACATTTATTTCTAACCATTTTACACCCTAACATCAGCATGCATATTCTTCATACTGTTCTCTGTACATTTCCTATGATACCGACAAAGAGAATTTGTATGGTCACTTTCTTAATTCTCGTGACTTCTCGTGGGTTCGGGGAGGAGCGTGGGCTCCGGTTCCCGAACAGCGGCTGGTAATCGAGCCTAAGTAGTGTTGCTGTAACGAGAAATTAGATACCACGCACTAGAGTTGAGTGAACAAAAACAGACTTCCACGACTACAGAGTGAAGAACTGTCGCTCTTTGTTGGCTAATTAAGAGTTTAGAGATATTTTAGAGCTAGAACATCACGTGTATGATGGTGGCCTATGACTGCCACGTGCTTGCGATGCTAAATTTCTTCATTTTTAAGTGAAGGTAAGAGCTAAACTTTTCATAGAAATGGGTGGCCAAAATTTGTGTCACGTAATGTTAGGTGATGTAAAATTTTCTCTCTCGCATTTAAGACCGTTTTAATGAGAATCTAAGACAAATGCTCCACTCCACTGTTAAATATGTCCAGACAGTTTGAGAACAGTTTAAGAACAACGCGACATAACTCATCCATGTGCAACAAGCTTTATTTCTTTAGTCTCAGTTCCTTACTGTAATGTCACGCAACTCTCCCTCAAAAATTGCGTGCCACCCAGTTGGAGTTGGGCTGACGAGACCTCCTCCCTTCAAGTAAAGGGTGTACTCTTGACCCTCTGGGCACAATTTAAATAACGTGATGAACCTTAAGCATCATAATTGAATATTCATTCATTTTATTCTTTTTAAATAACCACTCTATACACCACTTTCATAAATGGCTGCCGGATTGATATTCTTTTGTTTAAATTCAAATTAGCCTCACTAGCCTCGCTTGAGATAATGTATTCTTTTGAATTTTGAACTGGAGAACGAGGCCAGAAAGGCTAATTTAAATTTAAACAAAAGAATATTAATCCGGCAGCCATTTATGGAAGTGGTCAATGCGACGTGATATTCCGTAACTTTCTATGATTGTTTTTTTCGGTGGATTCGGTTGATTTTTTTTCTCTAATAACCAATGTAGATTATTTATTGTTATTTACGTGTTTTTTATCTTAATCTGTCCGTGTAACAGATGGTATTAGAAATTTTTTTTATAATTTTGACCGACCATGATTATTCTTGATCACAGGTTGCGTAAGATTGGTTGAGCAAATTTTTTTTTTTGTTCAATGGCTTTCAGCCTCAAAATGCGAATATATAATTGTTAAGTTTAGATACCATTGAACGAAGTGGAAGTTATGTTACATTTGACATTGTTAATCTCATCGGCGCCATGATTGAAAATTGATTACAAAGCAGTTGAACGATAAGAACAAGACGATGTACCGAAAAGAGCCGAGAGCACCGCCTGACGGTTCTTTGTAGTTCCACAACCAAAAAAAAAAAAAAAACAAACAGCTTTGAAACATTTTCTTAAGTTGTAGCTGTAAATTAAAACCAGTGAGTTAAACAAATACCTTTAGTGACGGGAAAGTTATGCCAACTCCAAAACAACCTCTATGTTCCAATTAACCAGATGTCGTGTAAGCGAAAAAAAAAATGCAGTTTTAAAAAATTCAGAAAAAATTAAGTTCTGTTTGAACACATCACCATCCGTCTGACCAGTCGTCTGTGCGAATGTGGAAAATTTTAGCGCGTCAGCGCTTAGAAAATCTGTTTTTCTTTAATTATATAACTTTCGATACTACTTACACGAAAACAAATTATGCTATTTCAGTGTCAGGGCCGAAGAAATTTTTCACCATGTATATACTTTAAACTTGGATCGTCATGTGTTTAAAGGGAGTTCATGAAAAGCAAAAATACCAGTCGAATTTAAACAGTTCTCGACAGTCACGATTTTACCTCGGGTTTGCGTGCGCGAGCACAAAAATAATGAATTATAATAATCGTTCTGTAGGAAATCTTTTTCCGAGCAGAAATTCAAACCCATCTTATGTACGGTACAGCGAGCAAATAAACGAACTTTTAAGATAATTTTTCTTACCTTGGTTTTCTATTAGATGCTACCACTGCTTTAACTTGACTTGAGCTGTGACCAACACAGATACTTGGCTTTATTTCAGAGCATTAGTAAAACAGTTGCGAAAACGTGCGCTGTCATGTGCCCGAGGAATTCGAACAAAGTACAAAGGTTCAGTGACCGTTTGACTTATCAATAACTCGTGATTGATACTACGCCGAGTCCAATAAAAAAAGTTGAGGTAAGGCAAGCAAACTTTTTATACTGTCTGCCCTTCGAGTAACCGAAATTGGAAAATGAGTCTTTTTTTTCCCTTTTGGAACTTGTTTTACCTTTCAAATAACTCGTTGACAAGCGAGGTCATGTAGCCGAAAATTCACATATTTCAAGCGTCCAGTAGACAAAGCGAGTCGAAAGCTAAAGGCACCCTTTGCGAATATTTTAAATTTCAGGCTAAGTCGTTGTTTATTTTGTATCATGAATAAAAAAAATTCGAAATCCAAACCACGGGATTATCATCCCATAAGTAATGCTTTCCATGGTCATTTAGGAAACGAGACAAAAATTTTCACCATTTCTTCCAAAACTCATACATAAGTCACTTCTCTAAATCTGAAGACACGGTAAGGGAATTGATACGACCTGCTGAACCCAACATAGTAACTCATAACATATTAGTTAACAATACCTTGGCAATGCTTGTGCAAACAGAGTTTTGGGGTGAAAAAATTATCAGTCCGCTGGGGCGCATCCAGGATTTAGTCAAGGGGGGTTCGGAGAATTGTCCGAGGGTATGCTCCCGCGGGAGATTTTGAAAATTAGATCTTCGGAAACATGATTTCCAGTATTTTGAGGGAAAATTTAGGGGGGTTCAACCGAACCACCCCTGGATCCGCCATTGAGTTAGGGAACTTTGACGAAACAGTGTAATATGCTTACAAACGATGAGCGTTTTGTGTACGTCTATAAGAATCCCCTGCGTATATCTAAATGAAGACATCCTCCAGCTATCAAGACTGTCCCAACAAAATACCCTAGAGATTGTAATAATACAAAATGGGCCCGAAATGTCACCCGAGTGCAAATCAATTGAAAAGCCTTGAAAACATCAGTGCATTAAAATGATGATTCATGTAATTCTCTGCCATGGGAAATACGTTTCTTTTATTAGTTGCCAAACTGATTAACCTTTGTAGGTTCAAAGTGCAACGCCGAGAATAGATATCGAAAGAAATTCTTTAAAATCATTAGGACACGCCTAAACCTGACTGTTATACCACATAAGCTGCACGTGATAGGTCAGAAACATTTTTTAGAGCAATTACCGGCAAAGAGAAAAATCTTAACCGACAGAATCTAATTTATTCAGCCTTTCTGAAAAGTTATCAGACAGATGTTCTGTTGCACCCTGATTGCAGACTCTCCAGTCGTCGATGGCTCACGATTTTGTTTATGGTTTCATAGTTTTCAGTGATGTTCCGAACTGATCTTTGACAGAATCGCAGTTCAACTCCTCGTGGAATAATGATGGTGTCACGAATATCGGTCATTGCTTTAAGTTCTTCGCAGTTCACGCGAAGCCTTTCGATCCCTGACTAATCAAGGAAATCACCAAACACAAAAAATTACACCCCTGTAAGAGCCTAAAGAAGCCCACGGTTATGAAATAGGGAACTTTTTCCGCGGGGCTGAAATAAAATGTGAAACTTAGAATGTGTATAACCTGACAATCTGATCGTCTTACTGATCACGATTGACCGGCATACAACTACATATTACCGACGACTTCCATAGAAGAGGAAAGCACAGAAAAAATTGGTCTACTATCATAGTTTATTCGGCTTATAGCTAGTTACAAATCGTATCTTAGTCAATCGGTGAAAAGATAAGGCAGTCGACTATGTCGACAAAACAAAACCTAAAAAGAAATGAGTAGTCCGCAATATGTCATGCGAAAAAACCCTAACTCAACTAGATGATAGGCACAATTTTCACACTTGACGTTCAAAACGATAAACCTCTTCGTTTTGAACAAAAGGAAGAACACTGAATAATCAAACCGTTCTCTGTAAGAGTTTTGACGATGAGCTATTTGTAACATTCTGTCTTGCGCGCAACAGAAACACATGAAGGATAATAAACAGCCTTAAGCCCCTATTTGGCTCGAAAATATGCTCGTGTAATTGTCCGTGAACATCATCATCTATTCCTCGACGTTCAGAAGTTTTCACAAGCTTCACTCTTAGAAAACTGCTCGCTTCCCATAAGAGATTATGTCTGCACACCAATATCCGAGAATACTTTCGCGCAAAATGGAGGTGAATGTTTAAACATTCAAACACAAACCGCAGCTCTCAGCTCTGAGCCAGATTGTCTCAATGAAATACATATTCAATTTAGGCGACCACCCTGAATCTTAAATCTTATTGTTTTATTTCGTAAAGGTGATCTACAAATAACAGAAGAGGAATTCCCCGCACTGTCTGACCAAAGAAATCATGAGATACATATTTCTGTGAGTCTCAGGATCTGGTACATATTTCTCTCTTCCCGTATTTCATGTTAACTTATTCGAGTTAACTTATTAACTCGATTTCATGTTAACTTATTCAAGAGAATTTTGCATTACATCGACGAAGACATCACTCTTTGGCTAATTGGTAAGTTCATTGCAATTATTTCTTTCCTGGGTGATTCAATAATTTTGGAAAGAGGGTTTACAAGTAATCATTTCCTGAGGTAACGGAAATAATTGCTACTGAAGTCGAAGTCGAAGCTTCGTCAATTTGCAGCTAGAGGAACGAAGCAGCGTCAATTTGCAGCTAAAGGAACAAAGCAGCGTCAGTTACTAGCTGGAGGAACGAAGGAGCGTTAATTTGCAGCCAAAGGAACTTCTTGGGCGTTGTCGGATTTTAAGTTGGCTTTTTGAGTTTTTCTTGCATAACAACACAAAAAGAAACTAAACATGGCGAGAATAAAAGCAATTACAAACAAACAGCTCACGACTATCAAAGCCGTTCTGTAAGGGTGGACAATAGGTGGACCTGAAAAGAAAAGAAAAGAACTCAGCTACCTGACTATTTCTCCCTCCATCCCCCCGCCCCTCCTGCCTGTTCCTAAACGGTCTTTAAACTCTATCTTCGAAAGCAAAGCCACCAGCGAAATAACGAACGCAAGTGCAAGTGGAACCGAGTAGAGGGTAGATGGTTTGGTAGCTTGGGTTATGCAATCTATGTATAAACAGGGACATCTAAACTCCTAAGCTGATCTGAATGAGAACGCATTATGCGAAACCACAAACTTACAAACACTAATCCACGACTACCCACCTTCAGTTGTCGCCTTCTCCGTGATTTCGGTGTTTTCTGTTGCAGGCGCTGTGGTAACGGTCGCCGTGGTAGTTTTCAGGGTGGTTTCTGTTGCCATCATTGTGGTGGTTTTCGCGAGGGATTCACGGAGGTCTGCAGATAATGTTCAGGACAAGTAAATCTGTTTACAAATGGAAATCGAAAGCAATCCAAGCTAGCTTTGGGTCTGTTTTACTTTGTTGCGCAATTGGGTTAGGAAATTTGCGCTCTAGATGCAAAACAGTATAATGACCGGAGTAACTAACTAATTAGAATGAAGCAATACAAAAGAAATCTCTATTTACCTTGAGTCGTGACACAACTGAACGTTTCTCGAAAAACCGATTATGGAGACACCCATTAGCCACGAGAAAACTGCAGAATGTCTGGGTATCAAAATTGCGCTGTAACATTTCCATAAACAGACTGACTATTTTCTAATAAAATGTTGTTAGCCCAATATCTTTCAAAATTAAGAATTAAACTCTCTATAGCCAAGTATAGGATCACGAGTGAACATACTAACCAGTAAATGGTTTTAAAGCCAGGAAGTTACATTCCATTGTGTCGAGTCTGATCGTTTGGGTGAGGTTAATCATTTCTAGAGCTGTCGCATAAAATAAACTCACCAACATTTCGCAGTAACAGCGCTTGAGCGTGACACGCTTCAAAAGGACGACCATCTGAAATATTGTATAGTACACAGTACACATTATCCATCTTTCTAGTGTAGTTTTCAATTCTGATGTACAACATTCCAGCAGGCAAATCGGCGTAGACAGTAACTTTGTTGATGAACAAGCGGTCATGTTTTGTAATGTACACCTTTTCAAAATGTCCACTCCCATTTGCAGAGGCGACTTCCTCCATTTTGGCTTGGAGGGGCCTTTTCAGGGCCTTGATAATGTACTGGTTCACAGTAGTCGCGTTGACTGCAATTCGCCAGCAGAGAGTAACGTTATCGCCGTCCGAGGCGTATGTTATTGGGAGACTGGGACAGGAATTTGCAGCGACATTGTAACCAGCTGAGTTAGGAAAAAAGGGAACATCCTATCGGTGAATTTATTGTACAAAGTGGATGAGGGAATAAATAACTTCAGAACTTTTCTGTTGCAATTCTACTTACAGCAGATTCCCTTCACTAAATTTTCTTCTTTCTAGCAGACTCTAACACTGATCCTTTAACTGACTCACTTTATTATCTAACTACACTCCGTAGAGTACAAATAACGCCATAGACGAGTACAAATATCACGCGGTAATTGTACCCCAGAGAACCGGTTCGACAGGTTTTCTCGCATCGCGCAAGATTGAAGTTACGAAAAAAAAAAAAATGGCGGACAATTTGAATCATAATTCCGACGACGAAGAGTCGGAATGGCTGGCAAATATAGAAAAAATACTCAGAAAACATACTCAGAAAAAATACTCGTAAAAATACTCAGCGATACTACACAACAAAACGTCTAATAAGATATATTTATTATTCAATTGTGCTTTGTAGAGTACAAATAACGCTCGAGACGAGTACAATTATCACGCAATATTTGTACTTCAGAAATGTCCGCGAAATTCGCTCACACTGAAACAACAATTAGGCGTGTTGGATGATGAAAATCAGGAAAATCGTCGTGATGGCAAACACCCAAGTAACCTCGGACTTTGAATTCAAATCTTAACTAAATGCTAAATATAAACACACACTTTCAGAAATTGCCAAGGGTGCTCAAACAAGAATTATAAAGTACTTGGGGCTGTTTTCTACCCGGTCATGGACAACATCAAACCTTTTTAAACAGAGACGGACATCAGCGATAGAGCTGGACGTAGTTTTAATCATTGCAGTGTAACAATAAGAAGAGGAGCTTCGATATCAACACTTACCGATAAATAGGCTTATAAAAAAGATTCCGTTGCAAATGTTTAGTATTTGCTTCCCCATGCTTGTGTTCGCTTACGGAAAAAGCTGGTCTCAAACTTCACCTGAAAAAAAAAAATAAAATAAAATAAAACGCTTGGCATCCAGCTCGGCGAAATTTCCGAAAATATTCCGATTCCTTCCGAAAAAATATCATGTTCCGACGATTTCCCAAAAAAATTCCGACCATTTTGCAAGTTTCCTTTTCAACAGAGAAAATTGAATTCGAAATTTGAAAGATCAGCAGGCATTAATGAAGTTAAGTGTTGCCATACTCCGACAAATACTCGAGAATAAACACCGTTTTAAACAGCATCTTACCGACAATTTGGGTTAGATGAGAAATTCTTATCACTAAAAAACTGAAGGTAATCGCAAGTCAATGGCGATCAGTTTCTCAGTCAATTTATCTCTATATTACTTGGGCGGACAAATCATGTGTTACCCATCATATTTTTTGTTGGTAAAAGTTAAAAGCGAGTTTTTCGAAGGGAAATTCATCGACGTTCAAGGTGTACAAGAAAGTAAATAACCGAAAAGATCAAATTTGCTTACCTTGAGCTGTATTTCTTTGCAATCCTTTAGCGGGACTGGAGCTGAGATAAGCCTAAAGACTTACCTTTGTTTGAAGGTGAATTATCAAAAGTCAAGTATCCAATTCAGGTCATGTGCCTGAACAAAGTTCAGATGACGAACATGGTTCCAGATGAAGACCAATCACCGTTTGCTTTTCAGATAAAGATCATGGTTCCAGATGAAGACCAATCACCGTTTGCTTTTTCATGTGATTAAAACCACGCTTCATCCGTGTGAGAAGCCAAGGTAACGCATTCCTTGTGACCACATACCCTAAAGACTACACCATACGTGTTGCACGGAACGCAAAGGTTCCTAGATTTTATTAACGTATCTCACAATCCTCGTTGAAATCGGCCGCTAGACCCTGGAAACGAAGTTGTTCAAATTGTATTCCTTTCCACGGGAGGGAAGGGGGGGGGGAGTGGCTTTTAGTACTAGTTAACAGTGCAAGAACAGGTCTCTCCGGCTGGCTTTCGGTCTTATAAACCAATTATTTTGGCTATCACGATAGCAGTTAGCAGATATTTTAACGGCCTCGCTGTAATTGCCTGAATTAAATGCTAAATAAAATGAATTAATAAAATAAACAAAGAAAACGAAAGAGAAAATAAGGATGAATTAACCACAAGCCTGTAAATGATTGCATCATATATTGTAGCTTCCAGAAGGTAATTTGAATAATTGGATAAAAACATTCGTGTAAACCTAAAGAAAACAGAACATTCTTAAAACAATAACATACATGTTTTCCTCTACTATAACGTCTTTCCTTCAACTTGACTTGATTGATCGTCTCCTTAGATTAAACACTTACAGCAGGGGTGTAATTTCATCCCCCTTGATACCTCAACACCTGCCAACATCAAAATAAATCATCCACGACCTGTTTAAACGTGTTTTGCTGACTGTGTGGCAACGTATTTCCTTGGGATAAGATCAGTTCACTTCCATAATTTGAGCACGCCATCCCTGCCAGCCGATATAATATAGTTCTGGGGTAATTTAGTGACTGCGATGTCGTTGATACATTCACGATGCCCCATGGGGGGGTGGTCAGGTCCTCGTCGAGGCAGATCCTCGTGTATGCCACCCTGCCGTGGCTTGCAGTAAACTTCCTGGAGTACATCAGTACCGTCTATCAGACGGGACCTGGAAAATAAATAGACAGAGAGATGACGCGTGTACCAAAGGCAAGAGGTTTACTGAAGTACAGTTAATCAAAGGATAATTCAAGGCGGCTTAAAAAAATTTTAAACGTTATTTTTCAATTCGCCATTTAAAAATAAATATAAATAAGGGACCCTTTACGAGAGCCTTGTCTTGTCCGTTCTACTCTACGGATGTAAGAATTGGAAAATGATTAAAGGAAAGGAAGAGAAGCTTGACACGTTCCAGATCAAGTGTCTAAGGAGGATTTTCAAGAAGATTCGATGGCAACATGTCTCCAATAAGACAGTTCTCGAGATGGCAGAAGCAGGAAAGATCAGCGAGGAGGTGAGGAGACGGATATGGAACTGGACTGGGCACATAATAAGGAAGGAGAGGAATGACGACTGTGCTGTGGCCCTTGGTTGGACATCAGAGGGAAGAAGGAAAAGAGGCCGACCGAAAACAACATGGCGGCGAATGGTGGAAAAGGAGAGAAACGGCGCAGGCTGGAAAACATGGAGTGCCGGGAACATTTTTAAACTTATCGAGCATTTTCCTCCTCACCATTTTCAAGGAAAAGAGGAACTGGTGTGATAACCTCGATCCAACAAACAATTAGCTTTTAAAAATAATGAAACTGTCGTTAAGTGTCCTTGCTTTCAGCTTCAAATTATTCTGTTAAGATACAATTGATGGTAGTAGACTTGGTAAGGTATTCCTTACTTGTATTGTAACACCACATTATTCAAGTTATCAGTGGCCGCCCCTGCCACCATCTGAGAACTTTCAGGATATACCAGGTCCCACAGCCGAATCCGCCGGTCTGAGCCTGCGGTCAGGATATACGGACTGATATCCTTTCTGCTTGTACAGAGCGCATGCACTGCGTGAGGAGAAACCTAGAACCCAGACGACAATAGCGATTATTGAGAGAAATCTTTGCCCGTGTGTAGCAAATCAAAAGCACCATAACTCTCATAAGAAATACTAATTCATTTACTACTTATTAAGTGCCTGGCACACACATGCAAAAGAAAGGAAGAAATCTTGGCTTTGGAAATGAAGGTTTCTAAGGTAATGTTGTAAAAAATGATATTGAATTTCGAGATTACTTATAGATGTTGACCAGAGTAAATACAACATAGGTTCGTGAAGCGTGTAATCTTCAGTATTTGACCCTTTCACGTCCAACGGCAATAGACGCTCCAATCAAGACATATCAGTTAGACGACATTCAAAGCCTTAAACATAGTTACAAACCTGTGTTTGCGAAAGGGGAGGGGTGTGACTAGCCCACAGCGCTTGTCTCCATGCTCCAGTTTCCAGGTCCCACACGGTCACTTCATTGTTTCCTTGCACGGCTGACACGACCCAGGACTGCTCGGTCGGGTGTGTGGCGAGCCGACGAACACGGGCGCCTGGGGAGCAACAAAAAAAGCATTACAAGGGCACAATAACTTCAATAAGCGTCCCAGCTGCTAACTGAATATCCCTTACAATAGCTGGCTACTTAGTAAGGTATGGCAGACAGACAAACATCTATTACATTTCCAAGAAATGTGGGAAAGTCTTATTTATTCTCTCTCACTGTCTCTCTGCATCTTGGAGCGCTAATGGGCACCGGAAAAATGTTACCGTAAAATGACAAAGTAATTTTGAGGAAGGGCGTGCGTTTTGGCTAACAATACCATCGTGTAAATATTGACTAGCTCTACAATTCAATTCAACATTGAAACGGGTCAACAACGGGTTGATATCTATCCCTGCAGTAAAAGTAATCAGCTGAAGCAGAAAAAAAGTACCTCTTGGATGAGAAAGATTCGTGATTGGCAGCTGAAACCGCAGATCCCAGCAGACTAGCATACCAGCACTGGTCCCCACAGTCAGCCAACTGTGACAAGGGTCTACCACAAAGGACGTGATCACACCTGATAAACAAACGTATGGCAGCCAATCACAACCAAGAATCGAGAAGTTTGTTTACTTCAAGTGCTACGTCATACTGTAGATAAAACATAAAAATCTACGGGACCTATCGCTGTAGGAATATCAAAAGATTGGATTCAATTTTTATCAGCCACATTCATGAAAACAGTATCTTCTGTAGCTTGACTCTTCTTAAAGTTCAAAATTAAGTACCTTGAAAGGAACTAAAACATTCTAATAGTCATTCTATGCCCTTCCCAACTTAATACTCTCCCTTATTTCCAACCAAAAGAAATCCTTTCACTTGTTGAATTTCCAAGAATTCCACACAATTTTAGACTGTCATAGGAAGTACTACTGGCGGTAAATTTTTACAGTTTACCGCCAGAAAAGGAGAACACTTGCCAACTTGGAAAAACATCTCAGATATTTCTACCGAATAGCAGTAGACTACAGGCGGTGACTAACCCAAACCTCAACCCTTTCGCACCCTAAATTCAGGATACATGACGCAACCAAAGCCATCGAGTTGGGGCTTTTCACAGGAAACACTCGTCTCTCACGTGCATCACTCCACTCAGGTGAATAAATGGGTACTAGCTGGCTGTCTGACTTAATGTTGAAGAGAGGGGTTGGTTTCTAAAAGGCTAAGGTGCTGCGTCGGTGGGGGTAACAAGGTAATTCGGTAATTTCAACTTAGTTGATATTACCAAATTAATGTTGAAGAGTTCAGGGTGTGGTTAATAGCACTGCTGGCATTTTCAGTCAAGGCAACATTTGTATATACCTTGGGGACAGTGTTTGAGAATACCGACCTTGGGTAAAATGATTTATTTAGACATGTACATTGAAATAACCATTCTAACATTGACATTACCATGAGATGGATTATTTTCTAGTTTCCAGGCCAGTTTAGACGATCGAAGATCCCAACCACAGATAAGACCATGAGATGTGGCATACGTTAACACAGACTGGGAACCTAAAAAGTAAGTACAGGTAAAAAACTGAAGCTTGGGACAAAGGTAGGGAATATTAGAAGCATTGCAAAATTACAGACAATCTCGAGAATTACTCACGAGAGGTCGAAGATACCACTTACAGGGTTTACATTTGACAAGTGCACTTCGTACTGTTGGGATATGTAATGGAAAAAAACCTTCAGTATGAACAAATCTACCCTCTATCATTCCTCCCACAGTCTATAATAAAGTAACTCACTATCTCACCATCTATAATAAACTAAGTGCCCAGCAACGAAAATCTGTGCATGCGTCACCTGTTTCAAATTGAGTCAATTCTACCACTGTCCCCTCTTCTTTAGGGTCCACTCTTTTTTCAAGTCTGGAGTTGGGTTGCTGACTACCCTGTTCGATTCTGTTTTTACAAAACAAAATATCAAGAAAACTTTAGGTACTAAAGAGATCGAGAAATAACGAAGAACAGAGGGGTGTCATGAGGGTAACAAGGCGGATATTGACCCTATAAACCCCAAAATGTAAGAACATACATAAATGTATACAGAATAAAGAAGATGGTAAGTTTCCAGCTCGATAAAGAAATACAGAAAGATGTTTTTCGTCTGGTCACGAGCGTGAAAAAAAAAAAAAAAGAAAGAAAAAAATTCAGAGTCCCCGTGAGGATTCGAACCTCAGGCCTTCGGATTCCGCGCTCTGATACCACTGAGCCAGAGACTCTATGGTGAGCAAGACCCATTACGAAGTTCATATGTGACACGCGTCCTGCATACTGCTTGGATCGACAATGTCGAAAGCGTCATGTTTTTTGTAGAGAATAAGAAAGATGGTATGTATATATACATAAACTTTGTTTAGTCTCGAATTCACAGAACATCTTTAACACCTTTTAACATCTTTGAGCTAACTAAATTACCAACTAATTTTAATAACAAGTTAATTCTAATCACCTAAACAACCAACTTGCTAAATTAACTCACAACAATTAATACTGCAATACAAGATTAAAATTCCACTCATTTGTTCCCGTCAAAATTATAAGTAAATATCAGTCGACAAAGAAGAAGTTCTCCCTTCCAACTGTTGTACTTCCCTTTGCGAATAGGTTGCAAGAATTTACTGTTTCATCATGTTATAAT